AATAATAAAGACAACTTGAGTTATTAATATTAATAATATTCCTAATAATACACTATTAATACGTTACTTTTTAAATGATACTTTTTACATTTTTAAATGATAAAGTATGTAACTGATGGAAAAGTACATACTTTGTATCTCTTAAGTTTTTGGTTCTCTTCTTCGATCTGGAGCTGATACTTGGCGATCTCTGACTGGATAGAGCTGAGATGATTTCCACTCTGGTCTGTGTCCATCGGCTCTTCCTGTGAACAGCAGAAACAGCAGTCTTTAAACAACCTTCATCATTCTGTCATTCCAGCATTTGACGCAGTCAGAAGATCTCACCTCTGTGAGCTGCGCCTGCAGTTCAACGATCTTCTTTTCATAAATCATCTTGCGGTCTGAAACAATGGCCATCAAGTTGAATCGAATCTCACCCTCGCTGTATCTGGATGGGTTCGAAAGCAGAAATGCTTTAATAAAACCCAGTTCTGTAGAAATATCATCTCAAATCAGATCGGCTTGAAGCTTACTTCTGTATTCTTTTCTCAATGACGGGCCGTACAGCACTGATCCAGTCATCCTCGTTACACACACCTGTAAAATGTGACAAAATTATTAAAAACACAAACAAACTGCTTAAAAACAAACAATTCAACGTCGATTCCACCTACCTAGATCTATGGGTCCTTCACGAAGTCCGTCCAACTCATAAAGTCGGCCGTTAGCAGGAACGTAACTCACAAAATGAAAAGCGTCCTCTTCTTTAGCCGACGACTTTGCGTCAAACTCAAACATCTGTTGTCTTTAGAAAAAAAAAAGCAATTTCTCAATGTTATATAACACTTATTATATATTGTAAAAGAGAAGAAACCTTCATAAAAGCACATAGAAATAACCTGGCGAAGCTGTTGTGAACTTGTCGAATCACTTCAGAGTTACTGAGAGCAAGCCCCTTCATCTTAAACATAAACAAAATCATATAAAGCAATAATAATGAAAAATACCTTTTAAAATAAAATGCGCGCCAACTTACCGCAGCATCAAAACTCTGCGAAAACTCTTTAAATTCTGTCAGCGTCTCCCCAAGGTGCATATCAGGATGTGTACAGTTTAACAACACGCTGACGATCGCTTGGGTCGCACAGGCATTATTGATGACCTGAAACAGTACGTTTGCGAATATTATTTTCTAGATATCCTTTTTGCTCTTAGTAGCAGTTTGCCGGATTTGATGAAATGCGTAATTGTGCACCTGCTTGGCGAAGAAGATCTCCTCCAGCCTTGAGTCTTGAACTATAGACCCCGCTGGCTCCTCACCGGGTTGCCACTTGAAGAGGAAAATCAGACCATGAACGGGCCTGAAATGATTTGCATGCATATTCAATTGCAGTTTAAACGCCGGAGGAAGACTGAATATAATAATTGATTCAAGGGTGTTGCTTACTTGAGATTTTCAAAGTTTTCTGGCTCCATGCTCCATATCTCTTCTACCTGTGCACCTTTGCATCCTAATGACAACAACAGAGACATCAATGTCGCACGACTTTCGAACAAACCAATGCTGAACTGAGGATTCAAATCTCTCAAACGATGCCTAAATAATGTTTAAATGCACCAGTATGAACTGAAGTCATTTTAAAAATCCTGAACCTAATGTTTGATTACACCAATGATGATCCAGAAATATTTAAACATACTAATAATGCTTGGAATGTGCAAATATACTGAATCAATTGTTCAAACAC